GAGGTTTTCCAGTTAACAGAGATAAGGATTTGTTAGCATTAGGGAGTTTGTTTTATCTTTAATTGGGGTCAGAAAAAAATGTTAAACTTTGAACAGAAATCTGGAATTTCCACTGGACCAATGCTAAGGTTAAGTAACAATTTTATGTACATTTGTAAATATTTTTGGGGTGCCCTTACTCAAATTTTGGCACCTTTCTCAAATACCCTTAGACTTTAATATATTTACTTATGATGACCTCTTCCTAATGTAAATGAAGAGTATTGTCAAGTTCTCCAGTTCTTTTCCTGTCTTATATACAATATTGAGCTAACCCTTTCAAATATTTTGAATTTGCATCTCTAAAAGAGAGCTTCATCTTCTCATTACCCAATTACTTGGGGATTTAAGCCCCCCCCCCAACCCCTAAGAGCTTTAAATCATACTATTATACCAGTATATTCCATCAGTATAGATTTACCTTGATAGGTCAAGATGCTCACTCTTCTTGTTAAAGTATGCAAGATTTTTTTTGGGGGGGGGAGACTTTTCTTTCCAGTGGACCTCCTTCTAGCTAGCTACATGGTCTGCTTGTGGTCTTTATTCATGGTGAAGATTTGATTGTTAATTTTCTATTTTATTGAGAGATAATTGAAAGCCCTATCTCAGATCTTGGTAATTAGAGCGCTCATTAAAGTTAGGATTTCTTTACATACCCCTGGGGCCATGATAAATTGGAACATCTTCAAATGCTTTTTCTTCGGGTATTCTTGTTCTATCCTTTTACCTATTTACAAATTCTTTCTTGTATTGACAACGACATATTGTTACATTCATTTCAAGGCCTGGTTGTTTAATATATTGTTTTCTTACAGCATTTTGAGTATTGCATTCTTGAAGATGGAAAAAAGGTTAAAAAGCCCTTGATTCATCTAACATTTATCTTCCAAATGGTCATTGAAATATTGCATTAAAGGTTTAAGTAGTGTGCAAAGTGGCTCTTTAGTCCAATTTTGATTGCACCTAGTGCTTAGTTTCTTGTACATTTGTACAACTATTATCTAAGCCTAGAAGTGGAGGTCTATATACTCAAAAGCAAAATCATCTGAACACTTGTAGTGTAGTGCAAAACTATTAATTCAGGCATGTAATTTTTTGAATTTTCTCGTATTTTTATCACAGTGAATACATTCCTGAATTTGTCTTTTATCTGTTATGAAATCAAGTTACATCACACAAAATTCACAGTTTGGACCTGAATGAATTTAAGTGAATTTAGATTTGTGGATTAAGATGTTTTTTACTTTAGCAAATTGCAATATATCTCCCTCCCTCTCTCCTCTAATCAGGTCATTGTGTTATCTAAAGTTGCACTCTCTCAACTCAGATTCCTTTTTTGATGTTCCTACTACTCTGTTACTCATCCAGTATACCATTTAAGTATGTGTAGTATCCCCTCATAGATATTCCCCCAAAATTAATCACCCATTTTATAACATTTTTCCTCTTATCAACATGATTTCATATTGTTATAGTCTCCAACTTTTTTGTTTGTGGATGGCATTTGGCGGTTGGTGTTCAGTGGTTGGTGTTTGGCATTTGGGGGTTGGTGGTTGGCTTCTGTAACAAATGGCAGGTGGTGACATTTTGGATGTTAATATTTAAGGTATTAGTTTAGGGTGAAAATTATAGATTAAAGTCACTCCTTTGAGACAGGTATATTCTATCAGGGTTCCTAAACTGACAGAAGCGTACACCAGGTCTGTTCAGGCACCCTGTCTATGGAGATGTAAAGAATGTTACTGATGTTATCAGGATATAATCTTCTTTACGTGCATGATCCCCAGTTACAACAGATCTTTTGAGGGTTTACATGCAACAGTCGTTGTTCATCATCATTCTTGCAAGAAGGTCATGGCAATCTATTAGAGGCTTCCCTGATGTTGTAAGCTTCATTTTGGGCTTTTTCACAGATGAAGCTATCTTTTAAATGTGATATCAAATTCTTGAAAGGGTAGCCCTAATGTGAGGTGCTAAAATGTTTACTGTCCTTGTATTAAATCACAGTTATTGTTGTGCTATGTTGAATTATGCTTTGGTTGGTGTGTTCTGTTGTGCTTGGTACATGCAAGGTGCTGAAAACTGATATAGAATGTAATATGGTATATTGTATATTGATTGGACTAAACACCATTCACATGTACAAGTATAAACCTCTGTCATTATTGTCACATTTGGACCACTTGCTTAATAAACATTAATGTAACAACCTGAAATAATCCCAGGAGATAATCCATGGATTAATTAAGTCAGGTAAGATGTTCTAATCCACCCAGGTGCGAATTTACCCGTGTGTCTACCAAACAGTAATAAATAAATGGCTATCTCCCGTGGGTTAAGAAACAAGCAGACCAATTGATGGAAAACATATAGAAGCAATTTATTAGTTTATCTAATTAATTGGTCTAGGGATTCGGCCATTCTTTTCGTTCTGTAATATCTATCTTTGCTGTGGTATTTGTAATTATTATAGGTTACTTTCTATTATGCCAACTAAGAGGATATGAATTATTTAGCCTGGTGTAATAGATGTGATATTCTACGTTTGTTTTACACACTTTTTTGGTGTCTCGTACTAATTGGTGTCTCATTGATATTTCAATCAGGATCTTTGTACCTGACCAAAATGTTCAAGTTTACCCTTTGCTTTGTCTGTTTAGTATCTGCTTAGCCTCTAGGCTCAGGTTAGCTCAAGTTATGCATTAAGTTAAATATGAATTGTAAGGAAAAGATAGGTTTTATATTTTGAGCGTTAGTTATATGACTATAAAATGGATACCACCCCCTGTTCATGTTTTTTCCATGTGCTGAATGATCAGCTGAAAAAAATAAACTGTCATAGTAAAAAATGAAATTGTTCTGTTTAAATATCATACCACCTTATTAGGGATACTAAAATTTAGACTGCATTCAAATTGAAAATTAGAGTGATTTAATGTGATATGGGAAATAAAACTTGACTTTTTTCCTTTTGATGAATTTGGCTGATTTGTTTGTCTGAATGACTTTATGACTCATAATTATTTGGTAAAAATAAGTAAGATATTTCACCTGTTTCTATAGAAAGTTACCCTGGATCTCCACCAGTAACCCACACTACCCTCTTACTAGTATAAATGATTTTGTAGTTTTTGATCCTATATATAGATCTTCATAATCTCAAATGTAGCCTTTATGTATTTTATATGGTTTTGATGATGGAATGAATTAAGTAAGCTCACTAATGGCAGGTATCCAGTGACTGGATTTTGATAAGTTGATATGTTTGATAGACTAGTTCATAGAATGCAGATGAAGTCAAGCTCAAAGGATGATAGAATGTCTCATTGTGATATATAATCTTTGGACCAGTCATTAACTGGTACCTAATAGCCTGGTGCAGCAATCAACATTATCACACTGTTGAGCCTGATTGTTATGAAACAAACAACTTGAGAAATGTCAACATTATAGATATGGGCCATCAATATTGTCCCATATTTCATGACCATGATGAATATCTTCGTCTTGAGAAATAGCTATGAGTGATTACCAAAGATTATGTTTGAATATCGAATAAATATGTATACAATGTACTAAATCGAAAAACAAATCCCATGAAGATCATATTTAACTGTCTGGTAGGGTAGCCATCAGGAAGATACTAGCGCTGAATATTAAATGAAATATTGCACAGTGGATTAATCAAAGATAGGACATGCCTCATGGTGACAGACCCCATTGTTGGTATTTGTTGTATATCAATATAGAACACACTTCAGATATATACTATAAATGCATAATCTAATAGCAAATTGTAATGGAGTGCCTATTATATCCTAATAATCCATCTGTATACAAAGATCAATTCGTGGGGGTGGAGGTCAAAACATGAGGTCACCCAGGGGTCTTGAAATATCACTGTCCGCATGTCATATTGATTAATAAACTTATTGTGTGTTTATTCTAGGCTTATTGGTATATATTGTACATATATAGGGAGGGAAAGGAGTGGTTCGAAAATAAGGGAGGGGGAGAAGGAAAATAAGGAGTTGAGTAGAATATGAGGAAGGGGATAAACATTACGTAGGTGGAGAATTGGAAAAGTTGGTATTCGTATGACGCATTGTTCAAAAACTTGTTCCTGATCGTGATGACGTAATGTTTTGCCATGTTAGTGATTTATGAATTGTATTCCAATATTTTGATTACTGATGAAGTTTATGTGGTTTTTAATCTCCAGTATTTATTATGATAAGTCAATGGAGAGTTAACGAGCTTCTAAAATGCAGTACTCTTTGCACTTTTCTGATTTGATTCATTTTTCTCATTTACTTCAATGTTGAGTTTTAATGTTTGTATTTGCACGTCTTTAGAGACAGCCAAAGTCAGACATTTGTGTTTTTGCTATTAAGTATGGTGAGACAGCCAAAGTCAGACATTTGTGTTTTTGCTATTAAGTATGGTCAGCGTGTTTCATTTATTATGATATCTGCCTTGTAAGGAGCTAATGAGGACATATTGAATGCCTACATGAAGTAGCCATATTGCACGAATTAGCCATCACCCAGTGGGGCCCTGTCAGAGTGTTTATAGAAAAAACTTCCTGGACTAAATAGTTTGAGGGGAAATCCAGCATCATTTAACTAATCCAAACAATGCCCAATTTAACAGTTAGCAGCCTACCCACCTTGTGACAGAAACACTGTGTACTGAACAGCATTTATATATACATTTAAGAAAAATAGAATCGCCTACAATAATATTTCTGACCAAGTTATTTATCTTAACTGAAAAAAGCATGTTATTTATTTTTGTCTGCTTTGGCAAAGTAAATTTATAAACTTAGGTTCATGTGTATGTATAATGGTTTTTATTCATTTTTATGTTTCACATTTTATCCTATTATTGCTAATATGAACATTTTTAGTTGTTTTTTTTGACTGGTTATAATAAACGTCTCTTGTTTAATGTTACTTCAGATGTGAATGAGTGTCGGAACAACAATGGTGGCTGTGAACATAATTGCTGCAACACGATTGGCTCATATTATTGTAAATGTCCACCAGGATTCCAACTGGCTTCTGACGGGAAAAGATGTGAAGGTTAGTAAAACAGTTCCCAATTAGGAAATGCGATTAGTTGGCAGTTACAGAAATTTCAATTTTCTGGGCCTTCTTCTACATCAGTTTTATATTGTTATGGTCTCCATTTTTGTGACGACATAGCATCCAGCATTCAGCGTCTGTAACAATTGGCCAGTGGTGACATTTTGTATGTTTATGCCTTGTCAAAATCTGTAAACTGATCAATATTATCAATAAAAATATCAAAATTGAATCATACCCTTCAAATTGATGGCAGTAAATTTGTTATCAAATTAATGTTCCCATCACTTGATCATTAAATTGACCAACATTTTCATTAGCATGACCAAATTGAATAATGTCTTTCAATATATAGCTCCAAATTCATTGTTTAGGGTTATGAACTGCACAATGTGGGGCATTAGGAAAATTGCTTCATTCGTTAACACTAATCTTGAGTATTGATTGTGATTTCTATTTTTATGTGGACATGTAGGAGTTCAATTCAGTTACCAAGTGTCCCATTTGATATCATACTGAGCCCTCATTACATTGCTTTCTTTGGAAATACCTTATTACAAGTCAAGATAACTCCCTTTGTAATTCTACATGATGAACTCCCATCATTAAAATGAATTGAAGTATATATTCATCTATTGATACCAATGACAGTTCAGTATTACTTTATTTTGATTGACTTCAGTGGTACTGTAAAACCAATCAGATTGAACACCTGCCTGTATGGAATAAATTTCTACATAGAAAAGTTTTCAAAGGAACCTTACATGTAATGAACCCTCACTGTAAAAACACCTGATTTCAAGTAAAAATGTTGGCTAATATTGAGAGTGTTCAATAATCACAGGATTTACTGTGATAAAAAGGGTAATTCTTATAGATTATTGCTTTCTAGCACATTTACATAGTTACATGTGTTATATGACGTACAGTTTAAATGAACAATGTTTCTTTGGGGTCATATTCAGTCAACAAAAGGAATATAAAATATGAATATTTATTTGCAGATATTGATGAGTGTGCACAGCATAATGGTGGTTGCCAACATAAGTGTGAGAACAGACATGGAGGTTTCACCTGCGTGTGTAAAGAGGGCCAGAGACTTCACGCTGATGACAGAACATGTGTCGGTAAGTTGAACCTACATTCTTACTCATTGGTCTTGCATCATATCTTCAACTCCTACTTGTCCCATCTACTTAACCATCAGCTTCGGGATGAGGGGGGTATTACAAGAGCTTGGTGCTAGATTTTATCCATCCACCTCAGGTCCATGATTAGGACTTCAAAACCAACTTGACTGGTTAGAATTGATTTATAATGCAGTTGCCATGTTTTCAAGCATTTGTCTCTGCTCTTATGTAGCATCCAAGTACCAAATAAGCTAACCCCCTTCTGGTCATTCAAAATAATAGATACAATGAGTGGAATTTCAAATCAGTTTTAGGCTCCCCTCTCATGAAAACTCAAGAAAAATGAGTGGGATCCCGTAAAAACATTCCCTCGTCCTCAAGATTTGGAAAAGAAAAAATTATTAGGATCACCTAAGATTATACCTTTTACTTCAAGATTTAGAAAGGTCATTAAAATATAGCATCCAAATCATGTCCACAAACTGACGTTTTGTATTGGGACAAATGAATGTTGTATTGGACATTATGCTGAGTATTCCTACTGACCTGCCATCTTTAAATAGCACTCAAAACTGTTTCTATTTACAATGAATGAATTGTACAAATATGATGTATTAGCAGGATATGGCAATGTCTTATCACTTATTGCCTCTTTCACTGATAACACTTTTTATAAGTATAGATAAATTTGCAAAACATTGACTTGTTCAAATATATTGAGAATAATACATCAATCAAACGATAAACTTCAAATACAGAACATTGTTAATAAGCGTGAATTGCTATGTAGGTTAACCAATCGAGATTATTTTATAACGCTATCAAATGTCAACAAAATGTTTGGTCGGTTTTTGTATAGAAAACAAACTATCGTAAAGATGTGACGAATAGAAGTAATTTGTATTTGCATGTTGGAATCCTCATTAAGCCTCCCAGGAAATTGCAATGAAATAATAAGGATGATCTGAAAAATGTTAATGACTTGTAAAATTTATTTTAACACCTATTTTGATCCTTAGTAGTTTAGTGTTTGATCCTTAACTGTTTGGTATAATACTCAGGTAGGGTTTGTCTTGATGGAAGTGTGTGCTTTCACATTCAGATAGATTACAGAGCATTTAACATAGTCTTAGTGCTTATATAGAGTGACACTTGCTATCCCTGGACACTCAAGCCATAATACATTTGAAAACATTTAGGAGTTGTTTTCTTAGAAAAGTACCTTATGATCATGTTGTTGATACTGATCTATTTAGTTAACAATTTTGACTGATTCCGATTTTTCATCTCCCCAAGTTAATTTTCTCATTAAATCAAGGTATATTATGGGTGGTTTATATATTATTTATTACTTAGACTGAAACGGTATAATTTTAGAGAACTTGGGGAGGTGTAATTTAAAGTTATAGTTCGAGGCATAATTTTTTATCAGTCTTCCTAATAAGGCATCACAATTGATCATGTGCACATTTCATTATGATAATTATCATCATTTCATTATGATAATTATCATCATATCATCACAATAGCAATCATAATAAATCTGAACGTTATTATTATCTGCTGTGTAGGTGAAAAATGGGGAAATTTTTGACAGGTTTTAAGACATCCTGTCGTCAGTTTGAAAATAACTTGTCAAAGAAGTGACAAATCACCTATGGCATTATTTAATATGCAATTAAGAATCAAAGTAAATTGGAACAGTTCACTAACTTGAACTCCAATTTTAGACTAATTTTCATTATACTAAACGTGACGTGACGTTAGATTCTATTAAGCTCGTCACATGTGTTTCAGACATTTTATAGCAGTGATTTACTGAGGTGTAAGGGTCAAGATAAACTACCTAGGAGGTGACAGGCCAACACTTTTGAGAACAATTATTTTGCAATTAATACCTTATGTTACAAAGATCAAAGGAATTACCTTTATTGTTAATTAAATGCTTTACCTGTCAGGTAGAATACTTACCTGGAGTAATATTATGGGCTTTCATGGTAATATGGAGTATATGAAGGTATATATAGTTGTCATAATAAGAAATGTTAATAACAGAATTTGAAGGAGCCCAAGCTAGCTATTATGTAATTGTTTCAAGAGGATGAAACTACTAGATTAGTATCAAATACTGAACCTTTTTGCGAAGACCTTGAAAAGGAAATCAAAGGAAAGTTGATTTGTGTCATCCCTTACTTAAACTTAGTTGATTCTCAATCTTCTTGTTTTAAAACATTTCTTAATTATTTCGCCTAGAGACATGAGAACAATTAAACAACAATGCACTTAATTAATTAGCACTTAATTAATTAATCACAAATTACATGACCATTGTACATCATATGATGTAATGCAACCTCACTGACAAGGCACATAAGGTCATTACTAAAAAAATAATTGCTTAAATTATGAACTTAAAGTAAATATGATGCTGAGCTAAAATATATTTCATTAACTTGAAGTTCTATCTGTGGTAAACATGTCTACAATTCACTCTTCCATTGAGGCAGATGAGGTAAATACCCGCAGGATTTTCAGCCAAAAAAGCTTTTACATTGATTGGGCCATCATCTTACTTCAAAAATGATATAATAGTTATTTGTCCTTAATTTATGATTCCATCCTATAACTTCTTCCAAATACTTCAAAGATTTCTCCTTTTAAGGAATTTTAGGAAGGAAGTGAGGAAAATTTCTAATTATGGGGCTAAAGGTTTATTTTACCATGCGGAAGCATATGTTTTAAAGTTTGTGTTTAATGATGCCAGTCTCTTTGAATTGTATTCAGTTTTACTTCATCCGTATTATAGATGTCTCCCAATACCAATGAAAAGTATGCTCAATATAAATGTATATTTGTATGAGATTTGCATCAATAAAAAGTTTATTGAGAATAACAGAGATTATTTTAGAAAATTGAAAAAACGTCATGGTCCGTGTGGATCTGTCTGTGCTCTCAGCAGGTATAGTACACTGTCAATAAGAGTGACAGAAACTGTCATATCAAAGCAAGGCGGTGTTTAAAAGGTGTTCCAAGCTGACATTGTACACTTAATTAACACTGCGTGAGTTGTTTGAGCCTAAAGGATTTCCTGAGATCAGAGTTGAGCCTAGGGACCAGAGATCTGGTAGAGATTTGCAACATCTTAAAGGAAAGAAAACCATCTGGGGGCCTGGGGATTAAAAGAGTATACCTTATGAACTATATAGGTACAACTCGTTTGACCACAGCTTGCAGTGGTCATTAATTGACAGCAAACCAAATGGTTATTGATATGTTCAATTGAACATAAGTTAGTGGATTGTGCTTACAACTAGTTATTAAGTAATTGTTTATCAACTGATGTGTCTAAGAGTAAGAAGTTTATATAAGTTATGGACAGAACTTTCGTGCATATAATTCCTTTTCATGAATTAATATCCGACTAAAAGGGACCTGTCATATTACTTTAAATGGGAGCTGACATTTAAATGACGCAAAGAAGGCCAGACTGTTCTTGCGACTAAACTTGATAAATCCAGGCTTAATAAAATACTTCTTATTGAGAACCAATATTTTTGAAGATTTAACTGCATCAGTTGATAAAATATTACGCAAGTATTGTACTCTTTGATACCACCGCAAGGGTGAAGGAATTTGAAAAAAGTCTTGGCTGCAGATCAATTATACATTAGGTAGTTGAGGTTACAATATAGAACTTACTGTCACGCTGAATGCAGTAGTTGCTCAAATACAACATATGGACATCACAATTGTTCAGAAGTTTCATTCAAAAAGTTTTTAAAAAAGATCATACATTTTGTTTTTGCTTTTTAAATGAAAGCAATTCAATTTAAGGAAGATCGTGAAATAATTTTCAAAGTTTACTCTGAATCAAGCCACACGCACATCTCGATCTGAAGAAACCGCAATAAACGTACATGTTACATATGAAAGGGACTCTAACTGGATCTCATTAAAGTAAACTGTATTTGTCTCCAATCGTATTGGATAGAGAGCTAATCCAACTGGAGTGTGCCATAAGAAATCAAAAGCTTTTATTTGTCTTCTTAGCACACAATAGAATCAAACCTAGAAAAACAGCACGGAAAGTTAAACATCAAAATAACTAAAGGTGGAGAATACTTATACTAAAGAGTTAGAACATAAGGAGAAGTTACAGTAAGGCTCATAATATTAAATAACTTTAGCCAGGAGCAAAACCTAAGGTAGTATAAGTTAATTTACTTACTGACACATTATAAAATTTGATTAAACTTGCCATCATTAATCACTTTCATACGCATAGTTTTAGGCTTTACAATATTTTTGCTTTCATTTATTCTACTGTAGCATTAATATCTTTTAAAATATCGAGAATTTGTTTTAAGTACTTATTAAAAGTTAATAAACATTTAAAGTTAGGCATGTTTATTTAAAAGTCTTCCGTGTTTTAGAAGTGGAGAGTTTGCTGAGCAATTGACATCAGATTAAAAGACAATTTATCGAAAATAAAAGACACTGTGTTGAAACAGTGGAGAAAATATTTGTTCGAAGATCTATTAAGTATTCTATTGGTTAAAAAGCAATTAGACAGGACATTGAAAGGTTTGACATCGTTCATTAGGCTTTTAGAATAAACTTGCAAAGTTCTACTGGGTTCACTTATAGAAGAATTGATTAGGAAGGATTCATGAGGACAACTGAACAATTCTCGATTGTTTGGCTAAGGTGTGTAAGTATTGGAGCGAACTCTTCTCCAGTTTTAGAGTGATTTCGAGGACCTCCTCAGATGTGAGGTTTGGAACTATGAGACTACAGAATGCGATAATCAAATTGTCGAAAGTTGAAATCAACCCTTGTGTTTAGACTATTGACTTCAGTCAAGATTTCTAACACCCAGGGTTCACTGGAATCGCACTACAAAGGAAACTATACACACACGTCTCTCTAAAACACAACATGGATGTAAAAAGTGACAGATAACAATTTACAAGTGACGGTGATAGAGTTATAAACCA